AAACAACTTTGGCTTTTATTTCAGAACATGAGCAAAGCTTATGATTCTGTAGATCTTACACTCTTCACCAAATCTTTATTACACCTATATATGCCATCTAACCTTATCAATATTCTTATTAATTTGCTTACCAATTGACAGAACTGAGTTATTACAAACTTAGGTCTTACTATTTCTTACAATGTTAAAAATGGCATTGACTAAAAAGAAACTATAACTCTGCTGTTCTGAAAAATTTATTATGACCTACTTATAAACAAAATAGCTTTAGACTTTTCAGAATACACTTTGGCCACAAAGTGGAATACTAGTCTGCTTTAACCAAAATTTCAACAACTCAAACTTAAGTATCTGTATTAGCATATATAGATGACACACTTTGGATAGCCAAATCTAAAAAAAATTACAATCAATTATTGTCATAGCTACATCCTTTTATTATATGGCTGACATTCAAATCAACTCAGCTAAATCAATTCTTATATCAAACACATTATTTACAGCTTCTATCTATTTCTTTAGTTCATTACTTATACCAATTTCTGCAAACCAACCATTTAAATTTTTAGATGTTGGTTCATTCTTAATAACTCACATACAAAACAAAGCCAACTTATTTATAATAAAGCAATTCAACTCATTAATGTTACTGGCACAAAAAGAATTACAAACAAACAAACCATCTATATTACTAATACTGTAATCATTTCTACTATTAAATACAGATTACATAATATCATTCTTAAACACTTCACTTGTAATAGCATTTTATCCAAATACCTTATCATGATTAAACATAAAGCTAAACTTTCTTGTACCAGCTCCAATAGCACTATGCTTAATCCTTATATATATAATATATATAATATTTAGAATATCCAATTACAATATTATATATCCTGCTTTTAACAAAAAATTAACAACTTTGAGATTCTTGGTATTTTTATCAAAATTCGACTACAGCAACTTCAAAACAACCTTTGGTCTGCTACTAATATTCTACAACATAACCAACCACTTATAGACAGACCTAACAAACTTACACTTAACTTTAAAATTATACAACTTCTACAACACCTTGGTATATTAATTTTAGTTAACTCTAATGTCTTGTGGCCTAATACTTTTCATGATGGATACCAACTACTAGAACCAATACTCAGTCAACATTCCAAATACTATACTTTCAGAAAACAACTCTGAAAAAACAATATACTCTACTTAGAACAATTATGTATTGCAGACAATAGTACATTACTTAAATGGCATCATCTTTTATCAAGACTTCACAAACTAACAAAAGAAAGGTAACCTCTTTAGTTTACCTACCTGGAAGATACAATTTTATCTAACAGATTATATCACCTAATTTTTTCTCATTTTAACCTTCAGGAATTAATGTTTTTGTATATAATACTTTACCAATTAAGAAAAAACTTAAACCTTGGCTACTTACCTACAATAATGATAACGAAGAGATCATTATTAGCAAAATATGCAAATATCTTCCAAACACAAACCAGTTCTTTATCTCACATTGGAATATGAATATTAACTTAGAACATAATTACTATTATTTTTTTTCAGAGCTAAACTGTATACCATGTACTGAATGTCATCTTAACTCAAACAAAGTTAAGCAAACATGCACAATCAACATTTTAGCAACTATCTGTACTAGCTTTCTTAAAGAAAAACTTCTAAACTTAAACTTAATGCTAACTATTTAGATCTTATTTATTTAACAGCAATTAAACATTCTTTATGAATTCTATACAACTATTCTATTATTAATATATCAAATTCTACTATCACAAAAATCTTTAAACCTAATGACTGTTTAAACAAACTTGAAGAAATTTTTCAAAACAATCTATTATATAAGGAATTTACTTTTTATACTGATGGATCAGTATCTAATATTAGAACTAAACAAAGCTCAATGGGCATTAGATAGGTTTAAATTAATAGTAACAACCAAGTTCTTTATAAATTTTTAACTAAAATTCATTTCTGACTATTAGCTTATAAGGCAGAGCTCTTTTCTATCTTATCTGCAATCTCAACTGTATCTCATAATGCAACACTTTAAATCTATACTAACTCACAATCAGTTATATCTAAGTATTACAAACTTTCTACACAACTCAATAACTCTAACAAACTCTTTAAATTTAATACATGGCCTTTATAGCATACACTTTTTAATATTATTAAATCCTTTAATTTAAATATCAACTTTCACAAAGTTCAAGCACATATAGATAATACCTTCAATAACATGGCTGACTCTTAGCAAAACAACATATCTTTTTTCTGTTTTTAAACTTTCAATATACTAACATCTACAACTCTTTTCATATTTTGCAATGGAAACAAAATTCTGTTGAGCTTCCTACCCAATACTTTATCAAAAATATTTGCAAAGCTCACATATTGGCAATGTGGTTCTTACAAAAAAAAAACAATAAATGTCTTATATTAATCACTACATAAACTGGCAATCAACATGGTTATACCTTAATCATAACCAAAAACCCTCATCTAACTTTACTAGTTTCAAATTTAATCAATCAAAAGCCTTTAAAATCAAAATCCTGCTAAACAAATTACCAACATACTTTTCTTTTCACAACATATATTCAACTATCTTTATATATACTAACTGCTTCAGATGCAATCTTTCTGACTTTTACTTATACTGGCTAATCTGTCTCAACTCTTCTCTTATTACAAATATTATTAATCTATCAATTTAGCACATTTTATCTAAAGCTGATCTTGATTTATCCATAGGCCAGCTTCATGAACTTATTCAAAAAATTCAAACCTATTTTTTATTTGACTAAATATCATTTCAAGCAAACTCTTTTTATCTTGACCTTACTCTTAAAGGCCTTATATCTAAAGCCTTAATTAAAACAATTTATAATTACAATATACTAACTAAGATAGTCTTACAAATCATTATTCAAACACTTCTTGATATTAATGACCAAATTTACAATCAAATATGAAAATTATACTGCATTAACTTCTTAACTAAAAAAAGAATAACAATATTATATCTCTTCAAACTCATAATATTCACAATACTTTACAACAGATACAACAAACTAGACATTACAAAAGATTATATATAAACTATACATATTCATGTTTATGTAGAATAGCAGATCAATTACACTTATGTCCTAATACTTGTTCACCAATTGAACAAACTATTAGAAAAATCAATATATGGGGTAGAGTTAATAGAAATAGGACAAATTTATCTAATAGATTTGTTCTATTTTTATTAACTTTACTCTATATGGTTAATAGTTTAGATTAATCATAGCACATTTTATAACTATATTCTAACATTACAAATCTAGATGGGCCTTGACCATCATAGTTAGTTTAGGTTGCAGATAAAGTTGTCTAAGCTTTAATTCATATATATAGTTTTTATTTTGTATTTTATAATCTTAGTATATCTTTAATATAGTATATTAATATGTATAACTAAAATTACTAATAAAGATATAAGCAAGGTCTCACCTTAACACCAAAAAAAAAAAAACTAAGCCTACTAGAGTCTTCTGTATTCTATACTTATAGCTAACTTAGTACTACTCTGGTCTAAATTATCACTTGTAGTTAGAGCTAATCATTAAACTACTATACTTTTGTAAAATTTACTAGGACTTTGACACCTTCTTTTTCTAACATCTTTCCCTTACTCTGAACTTACAAGATTTTTCAGACTACCAATCCAAATGGCCCAGTATAGTATCCTAAGATTCTTTTCTTCTGAAGATTCTAGTAGTCTGATTGGTATATGCTTTTTTATACATATTGTTATTTGTTCTATTTTAGTTATTCTTTCTGAAGCTTCTGATGATCCAGTAATATCATTAAAAGTCTATGCTACCTCTTTACTTAGAATTTCTAAGTGGATTTTTTATGCTCTGATTTCTTAGAGTTATGCATTTGGTGGTTTTATCATGGGTTTGCACTGAAGTCTTATGCAATACCAATTATTTAATATTTCTCTATGTATGTATAACATTACACTTTGCATAGATGCCTCAAGTTTTCATTCAAGATAGTGCATCTAAGATTACAGATCTTTTACTTTTATCCAACTGATCGATAAGATATAGTTATTGTAACATAGATATAATTATTCAAATTTTGCTGTCTATAAGATTTGAACACTAGATCTGCCACTTGGAGGTTGACAACCTGTCCACTTTACTAGGTCACCACACCCTTATTACACAAAATTTTATATATCAAAATTATTATTAGTAATATAAAAAATATATATATCATATAGTAATATATCAAAAGCTATATTAAAACTTTTCAAAACTATGTTAGTATGTTTTTTAGTTGTCTTGTATTTGAATTGTGAAAAGAAGTCTTGAAAAATCTCTATTGTTAAAGACTTTTATAAGACATGAAGTTTTTTATAATTAATATTAATATATATATATAATTATATTAAAAAAATTTTTTTAAATAATACTGATATAAAAAAACATTAACAGCAAAATTAAAAGTTTATTGGCAGTAAGTATATTATCAATATACTATTTGTTCTATTTGTTTGGCCAGTTTAAACAAAATGTCAGGTATTTTTTTACATTCTCAGAATTTTTTTCAGTATTTTTTTCATCTTTGTTGTTATCAAGGTCTTTTTTTGTAAGCAAATTTGCACTCTTTTCAATTCATTTTAAAAATGCATTAATGTTTTTGATAATTTCTTTTTATAGAATTCTTCATAGTAACTGCACCTTCTATTGTAGCAAACAGCATGATAGCTATAACCACAAATGAATATTATATCATTATTATTAATAAATAGAAGTTTGCAAAAATCATATAATCTAGAATGTAAAGGGTAGGATGTATTAAATGCTGCTAATAAACATTACAAGTCTACCTCTTTGTTTAAAGTTGCTAGTTGGTATATTTGAGGTGGTTTTTTTTGGTAGTGGTGTTCTTGGTAGTGCCATTGGTGGTGCTTTTGGTAGTGCTCTTGGTAGTGCCCTTGGTGGTGTCTTTAGTAATACTTTTGGTGGCATTCTTGGTAGTGCTCTTAGTAGTATGTCTGCTAGTAGTATTTTTAGTAATAGTGCTTTTAATAGTGCTGTTACCAATAGTTGTAGTATTTAATTTTAAAAAACTTTTTTATGATTATAAAAAATGGTTTAAAAATATTGCAATAAAAAAAAGCTAATCTTATTAGACAAAAAATCAAGTGTTTTAATATTATATAGATAATGTTAAACTTTACAATATATATTTTTAATATTACAATCTTGATTTATTACAACATATGCATATTTTATAATATTATTCACTGTTGCATTCGAAGATGTATTTGCTCTGATTTTACTATATATATTTCTATATAATATTCATTAAAACTTAGCAAGTGTTCTTCTAATACCTTTAAAATAAAATGACTCATATTCATCTAATAAAATAAGTTTGATAAAAATACAAGAAATGCTTTGTTGTAATTTTTTCTTTTCTAATATAAAAAAAAAGTTCAAATACGAAAAACAGACTCTACATATTTTTTAAATTGAAATAAGATAGCATATATATTAAGAGTAGTAGAAACTAAGTATTATGCAAATTAATAGTTGTTTAATATTTACTATTCTTGTATATCAATCCAAATTTTTTTATAATATTATCACTAATTATAAGTCAGCCATAGTGTGAGAGTTCTAGTATAAGATTTATTCTTCAAAATTATAGTTTTTTTTGTAAACTTTTTGTTTTTACTAAATACAAAATGAAACAGATTTTTTTAACAAAAAATGGTAAACTAACACAACCTGCTCTTTACTGTTTAATGATAAATAGAGGGTCCCAATATTGAAAAAAATAACTAGAGTTTTTGTAGAAATTTATACTATAAACCTAGAATAGTTCTTATATATAATGTTTTTTAAATAAATATCTGTTCAGGTCAGTTAACAATAACTAATACAACTTTTTCATCTAAATGCTTTGTTTTATCATTTAATAATAAAAAAACCTTTAAGATATTAATATAAGTTTGCACTAAGTGCAAACTTTGCTTCTTAAACTCAACTAACTTAACACCTTTTATCAATCTCTTTTTCTTTTATTTAACTAAATTATCTGCATAACTATGTATCATTAAAGCTTCAATTTGATTGAACTTCTCAAAAATTAAATAGCCTTGCAAAATTCTATAATTAAAATATAATAAATCAAACATTCTCTTATATTTATATAGTAAATATTAGCAGATTCTATATGTTTTAATATTTGCTAGATTATAAAGTAATACATTATTATAATTAAGCAATATGAATAAACATTCTATAATCAGTTTTGTAATAAAAGTTGCAAAATGTTTTGCACTTGAGATTGATACTGTATTAGGTCTCTGATTTTTATGAATTGAATAATAATCATTTATATTATAAACATAAAATAATCTTTTCTAATAAAAAAAATAATAAATTTAATATCTAAATATATTTATTTAAGAATATTGCTATTGCCATCTTTATTTTTGTTAATGCCATCCTTTATATAATCTAACTTTAATTAAGAATTAGAGTTAGAAATGTTAAAAGCTAATCAGATTAAGTAAGAGAATGGCATTAGCAAAAATAAGAGATGGCAATAGCAATTCTCTTTATTTAATTTATTTAATTTATTTAACATACATTGCATATAAAATGCTGTTTAATCTTTATTAGTATTCTTGTTAAATTTTTTTGCAAAATTCTTCTACTGTTTTCATATATGCAGAATATCCAAGACTTGCTATTGTATCAATAGCTTTTTATGTAGCATCTAATGCTATTAAATACAATCCTACTTCTAACTTATGTCTATTAACAAACTTATTATACAAATCTGCAATCATATAACATAAACTAACAATTAACTTTTTGGCTTTATTTATATTATAAGCTGAGCATTTTTTGGAAATAATTGTATTTATTATACTATTAAAAAAACCCTTAAGTTAAGAATTAGTATTCTATATCATATATATGAATTTTTCTAGATCAAATTTTTTTTTTTTTTTAAATGTTAAGATGAGTACTTGCAACTCAGGATTTTACTGATAGTATAAGTTGGCTAGCATCTGTATATGTACAAACACAGAGGCAATTACAGAAAGAGTATATAATTAGCCACTCGTACAACTTTAGTTATTGTCTAATTTAAGTAGTCCACTTGAAGGTTCTATACTAGTTGCTATACCTAGAACCCACCTGTAGATCCTCTATTTAAACACTCTGATCCTGCATCTATCACACCCTACCAGTGACTTCAGTAAACTGGTGAAGATATGCTATGATCACTAAGTCATATTTAATTTTGTACTAAACCTACCAGTACATTCTGTATCCTATACTTACAGCTTACCTGGTCATGCTTTGGCCTAAACTATTACTTGCAGTTAGGGCTTACCATTAAACCACTTTTACCCTTGTAAAGTTCACCCAAAACCCTGATACCCATCTTTCTGACATTCTCTCCATTGTCTCCTACTAATCACTACTCAGGACCAACAGGACTCTCTGGACTTCCAATCCAGATGGCCCGATATAGTATACCTTAGTATCCTTTTTCTTTGGTAATTTTGGCAGCCTGGTTGGTCATGTGCTCCTCTATACATCTTGCCATCTGGTTTATCCACCTATCCCTTTGGGGGTGTTTCATGGGTTTTCATCAGTCCAACAGCACCATTGAAAGTTTTGTGCTACCTTCTTACTCGGGATTTCCAAGTGGGTTTTTGACTTTTCAGTTCTTTTGCTTTCCACACCTGGTGGTCTTATCGTGAGTTTGCACTGAAGTCTTATGCAACATCAGTTATTAACATTCCTCTATATAGGTGTAACATTACACTTAGCATAGATGTCCCAAGCTCCCATTCGAGATAGTGCAACAAAAGTTACAGATACACCAATCCAACTGATCGACAGAGACAGTTATCATAACACAGACCTATTTTTCAAAATTCGTCGTCCATGGGATTTGAACTCTAGACCTGCCACTTAGAGGTTAACAACCTGACCACTTCACTAAGTCATCACACCCCTAGATCAAATTTTATTACAGTATATTTATAATATTGTTGATAATATAATACCTTAGTTAGTATTTCTATATTTGAAGCAAATATAGAATTTAAATTATCAAGATTACTTAAGGTTACTAAAACAAATATTAATTAAAAAAAATACAAAACATAAAATACATACTTGTACTATTATTTGATTAAGATTTTATTAATTCTAATATTTTTTTTTTTGAATCTTTTTTTTTAAAATTATGTCTTTATTTGTTTCTATTACTTTCTACAATTTTACAATAATGAGAATGACAAAGTTGCCTTCCAATACTAAGATAAAGATACATTTTTAATATTTATTTTTTGTAACAGTTTTCAAATACAACTTCTGTAATTACATAATATTTAATATTAGTATATATGCAGTTAATAACTACATATAACTCAAAATTTTGTTTAGATTTTTATTTGGTTTTAATAAAAGCTTTATATCAAATTTAATAAAAAAATTTGTAATAAAAACTTCTATTATTATCATTACAAAATTTGCTATAAAAACCTACAACGTAAAATTTAATAATAGCTAAATTAATAGTAACAAACTTTAGTAGTAAAGAAACTTAATAATAGCAAAACTTGATAGCAATGAATTCTGATAGTAGCAAAATTTGGCAGTGATAACAAAACTTAACTGTGACAAATCCAATAATGATGAAAAACTTAATAATAATGAATCTTAATAAAATTTTAATTAATAGAACCTAATAACAATATATATATATATATATAAAATCAGAATTATGTTGAAACTTCAGTAAAATAAAACTTTAATCATAGCTTTGAATACTAAAAGTTTGAAATCCTTATGCTAAAACTTTGACTATTTTAAGCTTTGAACTTAACTGTAATAACTTTAATCATAATAATCTTAACTACAACAATCTTAATTACAATAACCTCTCAATTACAATAATTTTAGCTACAAAGTTTTGAATTATTTATACTAAAAATTTTAATTGTATTAAATATTTAATAGCAATAATACTAACATTTACAATTAAAAAAAATTTTTTTCTTTATATAATTTTGATTAACCAATCACAATTTAATAAATCAGAAGCTGCATGTTCCAGATTTGCTTTTAATAAAATAAAACTTCTGTTATATTTAACCTATTTGCTATACTCTTTTAAATATTATTAAATTATACAAACTACAAATTATCTTTTACAAAATGCAGGCTCACTCGGATAATAGTTTTAATGATCAAATAGCCATTATCACTACTTCTTTTATTTAATTATACAAACTTTTATAACTCTTATTATATTTTTCAATAGGACCAACATTACATAGAACTTCTTACAAGATACTTTATTAAATAAATATATAAAGCTTATATATTAGCTTTATAGATATCACAAAAATTTAATAGTAAGTAGTTATACTTCAATTATAATATTGACTAAAGATCTATTTGGTTTTATTTTAATTGCAATTAAAAACTCTTATACAATATTATTAATTTTAGACTCAATTAACTAAAATTCTTTAAAATTAAAATCCTTTTTAATAAGTTACCAATATGCCAATTATTTTATACTATTTACTCAAACCAATATTCAGATACTAACTATTTTTATTGTAATCTAGCTAACTCTTATTTCTATTGGCATACTTGTGCTAATGAACTTTTGCTTAACTAAATTATTCAAATCTTTACCAACTAAATTGTCTTTAACAAATTATTTGATCTTAATACTTATTAAAAAACATAATCTAATTTATAAAATTTTTTATCACCTAGCTCTTAATTCTCTATATATCTTACCTAATATATTTTATCCTAATCTTACTCTCAAAGAATTTATCTTAAAATCACTTATATTAATAGTTCAAAACTTTAACATATTATATAAAACTGTTTTTCAAATTATTATTAATATTTTTCTTAATTTTTTTTTTTTTTTTTTTTTTTAAGGTGATCTCTTTGGTCTTTTGACTTTTATTAATCACTTATCAGTATTGTGGTTCAATGAACCACTACAGGAGA